GTATTTGATAGGTAATGGGATCAAGGAATACAGCACACAATGTATCTGACAGGGTGACATATGCTATTATGACATGAGGCTGCCTTATCTGTTGGTGGAACCCTTCTACAGTCCCATGGGGATTGCAAGGAAAATCAGGGCATCTGCAGTGATGTGGGTTTTTAAAACTATGTTTAAATTAATATATTCTAGGATGAAATTCAAGATAATCATCTTGATGCCATCAAGTCTTGTCCCTGGGAATTGGACTCCCAAATGATGTAAGCAATCCTCTCAACTGTATCTTCTAAATGAGTCTGGCAGCACAGATAGATCAAGGTGTACCATCACACTACTGAGACTGAAAAACAGGCTCTCTGAAGCATTTTCCTCCATAATGACTTAACAGAATTACATATTCCCAAACTGTTAAGGGATAATGTGTTATCGTGTGGTTATTGGGCCATTCAAAAGCTCACTGATCAAGAACCATAAGCAAACCTTCAGAAGAAATCAAATGCACCCCTCTTTAAGATTATTTTCATTAACCGGGAATTCAAATACATAAAATAGAAGCTGCTGTCTTCTTGGCTAGTAGACCACTACATAACTATATCCTTCTTAACAGGAAAAAAAAGGAAGAAAAAAATTGGAAAAAATAAGGCAGCTTTGTTTTAAACCAACCCATATAAAAGAGGTGAAAATTTCATTTGGCTTTTATTTTTTAAATTTTAATAGAAAAATTAGAATACATCAATTTCTTCATAAATGAAGGGGAATACATCAATTTCTTCATAAATGAAGGGGAAAAGTTTAACAATGCATATGTCAAGAACACAAAACACAACATCCAGGCATAAGGCTTTGAGTATTTGATTCTTACAAATCTAGGTTTGAATCTTTACATATTCAACCATGTTAAGGATGCTAAATTTAGGTTGCCAGTTGATTTCATCTTAAGTTATCTGGCAGATATAATCTGGTACTCTCAATTTCTGGAGTAGTCACACGTGTTCAATCTGTTTGGTGCTTCCAGTTGAGAGTACTTTTTTTTTTTTTTTTAGTAAAGAACTTGTCAACG